TCTGCTGTTCTATCGTACAGTGAACCTTAGCATAGGGAATCACTGGCTTGCCCATAAGGGTCCAGTCTTTGGTACCAACCAATAAGACAGAGCCAAACACTATCTGAATACCAACAATATTCTCGTATCGACCTCCACGTGCGACTTCAGCGACCCGCTGACTATCTACTGATTAAAAGGCTCATATATCGCTACTGCATGGGAGAATTGATCTCAAAGAAATATGCAGCTCCAAGGGAACACATGCACGGTCTGCTGAAGCGATGACGCCGACGAGTTCCGACTGACCTGGTCGCCGGCCTGCTTCCTTTTGATCCGCTCAGTTTGGATTATGTCTCCAATGGTGGCCTTATGCTGCAGCCACTTGCCAGATAGGAATACCACAAAGGCGTTATCAAGGTCCAGCTTGATTCCAGGGGGAGGATCTTTCGGGGGTTCCGTACTGAAATCCACGTAATTCCGGAGTCTTCGTGTGCACTTTTTCGAAGATTCAGTGTGTTTGAATTTTTCGAGTCCAACATCGAGAAACGCCCTAGTCAGACTAGCATCAATGTATCTTGTTCCAAAAGGACTGAGTTGGGCTTGCATGAAAAGTAACATTAAGCAGTGCCCAGATTCATGATTCTCGAGGGCCCAGGATAAGACTAGCGTGTGAGGCCTCCGATCGCATCTATGGGCCCCTTTGAGCAAGGCCCCTAAGCGTGAACCCCCACGATACAGCAGCTGGAACATTGCCCATGCACTACATGAAAGGCATCCGATCGTGTTGGACAAATGCTGTAGTAACCTCCCGCTTAGGATGCCTATTCGGAAAGGACTTCCATTTCCTCCTCATATTCATCCTATTGCGTCGAACATCTCCAACATAGTTCCACCGCAACTTCAAGTCCGCATAAGTGACGATCTCATTCATGTTCTGATCTGTGTCCAACAGTGGGTGCTTCGGGACCTTGTGCGGGACTTTCATATTCTCCCCTGAGACGAACAAACCACCACATTTCCTGTCAGCCCACCAGGTATTCCTCAGAGTAACAATGAGAAATATTATGAACTTATCCAGAAGTTAAAAGTCTTATTCCCATCAGCTTAGAAACCGCAGATTTTGCAAGAAGAGGATATCCCAGTAGCAAGGACTCGTCCAGTTTTGAGAACTAACGTTCGGGCTTGACAACTATAGTGAAAACGTTCCTTATGTGATGATGACACTCACATGAGAAACCGCGTGAATAAACTGTTCCTAACCATGTGAGCATCTTCAATGAATTCCCCCCCCCCCCGCAGCCCAGTAGTGGTTACCTCCTCTATGCTTGCCCACTTGGAACTCCAATTTATGCGCGTACGATGCGCGTCTACGATGCTTCACGTCTACCTTCACCAGCCGTTGTAAAAACCGGCGGAACATATCCTCCTAGAACTAAGGAGGAAACCCCTTCAACTCACTAACACAAAATGAGCTTCGTTCGGTACGTGGATAGAAACCAACTAATATCACTAAAACTAGATTGTGCAATAGGAGTCCTAAACGAGATCTCATTCTCCCACTGCTTACGAGCATTGCGGGCTCTCAATGACGACAAGGACTGTATGAGAGATCAAAAGTACGGAACCGTACGAAACGATTTTCCTGAATTGAGTTGAAATACGTTCAATGCGAAAAAAATAACTCACCATTGAGGTTAGAGGCGTTTCCAAGTCCTTAAAGTCTTCAGTACCACGAACAGAAATATTGTAGATAAAATCCCGGCTGACAGGATGGTCCAAGTGAGCCATGGGATGAGAAACTCCGAGGAGATCCCAAACCTTACCGAGACGCCTAGAGAATAGCATAGCCGAAAACACGGCGAATTGAAGGGAACCTTACAGCTGGGGAGGAGCTTTTGTACGAGTATAGTTAATATAAGCACTCCTAGGGAAGTCCTCGATCTCAGCGACACGACGACGTAGCTCGACGAATGGGACAGAGTACGGTACGAAGTCCCTGGAGGAAAATGGCATACAACCAATACAGTTCATATGGCCGTCACCTTGTAGGAGGATAAGGCCAACCCTTGGCAGGTGGGGCGATCCAGAACTCACTAGAAATATTGTACTCGTGAAGAAATCTCTTAGTCTCGTTGGTAAATAGCTGCCCAAGATCCACCTGTAACCACTCAATGCTGGCAATGTTGCTGCTATGCACCTAATAACGGGACATTCAATTTGATATGAAATTCCACCCTACCGTCACGTAGTCCCTTTGATAGCCTAGGAAATCAAAGTCATCACCAAACACGAACGAGTTGGGCTGCCCGCCCTCAGTGCGAAGATTCGAGAACATCGCCAACGCGGGGTAGTTGCGAATGCCGAGATACGGACATGCTGAAAGAAAGTGGAAACACGAGGACGGCGAAAGGCTCAAAGCTCACCAGCAAGGCAGCAGATAAAGATCCACGGGAGGCTCCCAAGGAGACTGCCTCTGGCGTACACTCTCTCAACTGGAATATCACTCTGGAGCGTAGGCCAGATCGTGACACAGAGGAAATACACACACGAGTAGAGACTCCATACAGCTGCAAACGCCCATAGGCCATACGGAGGGTACCTCATCATCGGATGCTACCCACTCTTTCATGCGAGAGTCTACGAGCTTACTCGAAAGGCATCGCGCCGTTCAACTCGGGAGCCATGAACTGAGGCCAAACACCCACGATAGAAAAGAATATCCCCAAAAAACTGCCCCAACGAAGCACTGGTTGTACATTCAACCAGTTGACAATCTTGTCAGCAACAAGAGCCGCTTGTTCTGGTAGGACCTAAGGAGGAGATCGATAGGGCCTATAGGAGCTCGAGATGACTTACGAAAGTGTACATGGGGGCCATAGCCATTGTGAAGGGATATACGCTCATAGGAGACAGGGGTTCAGCAAGAACACAGTGGAAGAGGGCACCCCAGAAACACACAAATCGGAACCACAAATAGTTACCTATGAGCCGATAAGACAAACACACAGTAGTGAAGGGCTCACCCTTAGCGGCGCCGAGGATAAGAGCGATGGGCAGGGCCATCTCGATGATTACAGCGACGTGAGGCATGAGATCCCAAGGGGCCCAGGATGGGACCCACAACTTGAACACAGGGAGGCCGACAAAACCAGCGAACATGAGTATCTAAAAAAACAAGATAATGACGACTTGGCCGAGGTGTTATAAGGCTTACACAACAGCTATACTCGTGGCTCGCCCAACCGTCGTTCATTTTATCGATTCCAGTGACGACGTAGAGAGCGATAACCGTGGCTCGCATGGCCCAGGTCGTCCTGTTAACCCATTCTGAACGATCTCTCTTGTACGTGAGGAATACCTTGAAGAGAATATCTTTACCCACAGCTCGACCAGGGGGCCTTACGCATAATCCGAGGGCAATATCGATGAAAATGTGGTTACTGTAGTGACCAGTGAGGAATATAACGATGAAGCCAACCAAGAGAGAGCCCATCGTCACGTAACGACAGTGAGGTTTGACCAAGGCTAGGAAGTCAACACTGCCAAGTGCGACAAGGGGAATCGCGTTCTCCACTGTGCGTGAGCCTGAACTAACGATATACTTATGTGTGATCGAGTGGTACTCACTTTTGAAGATAAAGAAAAGCTTGACACATTGGAGTAGCATAAGTTGCGACCAGAAGAAGGTGAAGACCGATATGGCATCCATTGTAGATTTACAACCCTCGGACGCATTCTTCTTCACTAACTTGTCTCCCTCACTCTGTGATACCGCACGAGACATTTATCAACCCAGCTGAGGGACAGTGGCCAATCCCTGCTCTGTTAACAACGGTATAGGAAAGACTCCATCACCACCCTAATGCGATGGTATATCGTAGTATACAAATTATATATATCGCCATTATGAAAAAGGTGTATATGCACTATATATTATTTATAATATAATATATAGTGCATATACACCTTTTACATACATAACCTCATGTGTTCACTCGTATGCGAATCCCTTACTCCAACGATGCGTCGGGAACTGTGTGGAATTGCCCTGGGGCCATTGGTCATACAGGCCCACGCGTGTTTTATATACACGCAATGATGTCTGCGAAAAAATCGTGTAAAACCTGACGGGAAAATTTCCCGAACATCCTAAATTCGCCACTTTTCCACTACGACTATCTTGTTTGAATTCTCCACCACGATGAAGTCGATTCCTTTTCAAAGCACAGTGTGCTCCAACGACACAGACCAGAGAGAACAACCGCACACACAACACGAACTGTTCGAAAACAAAGGGAAAACTACGAGAAATTTGGTAAATTAGAAAACTACATACATTAGGGCGGAAAAATGAGAATCATTTTCCATGAGTTCTGTAAATAGAAGCTGAATCGGCGATGGAACTATGCGGTAGGCCGAACATTCCTTGCTCCTGTCCCGATCGCACAAAAGGATATTGTTATTGCATTTCCCAACCTAACTCTTATCACAGTATTGAGGGAAAGTATCTCAACTCAGGCAAAAGGAGGAGGAGGACATATTCTCCCATTTTCTATTGATTCCTTCACCGCATTTTGTAGTAGCCACCGAGCTGCTGAGTCCTTCTTGTAGAGTAAAAACGATGGACGTGCACTCTGAGAGTCCCAAGACCTATACAGGATGAATTGCCATACAATGTACTTTCACCCTAGTGAAAAACACTATGATAAACATACTGGCCGCGAATATCGCGTTTTCACCGAGTTTTACGCCACTTCACATGCAAAGGGTTAAACTCCAAGTTATTACGTGCCGTATAACTTACATGTGAGTTTTCTGATCAGCCAATCTGATGGGCTTGAAATCTCCTATGACCGCCATAAACGCTATAGCCGCTCCGATGGCACTCTCCAGAATCACCTTAGGACGAATCGGCCGGTTTGAATGAAAAACCATTGAGAGCACTTACTGCGACCATGAATGCTGTTCCCATGGTATTCTCCTCAACTGCCGATGCGGGCATCTCCTGAAAGGCCGAGCATATGTTACGATATACAGCATCCCGATGGCCTCCTCAATGAGCTTGAGACCAACCCAGCGGAGCAGTAGTCAGTGGAGGTTTACCCGTGACATGAAAAATACTAGTGAAAAATATATTCCACGACTACTGCATATCGCGAATGTCGCGTTTTTCACCGAGTTTTACGCCACTCACGTAAAACGGGTGAAACTCCATTATTTTAGTCAGATCAACCGTGCCATCCTGTTGGGTCTCATAAACGCTTCTCGAAATCATAAGAGCGAGGACAGAATAACAATAACGGAGAGCTCACAGTGATCAAGTCGCCAACTACCATTGCTACAAGCCTGCTAGTGCTCTTTATCCAATGGAAGAGCATGTGCCACGTCAGACGTTACCGTATTCAATTCTGCCACAGCAATGTGCTCCACTTGAGCATTCATCCTATAGGCCGCATGAAACAACATAGCCAATCCCACTAGAAGCAATGACCGGTCCAACACACGCATCGGTGGGGAAAGGGATAATGCAAAACAAACTACTCAAGATGGCCGTATTCGCCGAGACAGAGTTCTATCAACACGATTCACCAATGGTCGTGTGGAAACTATGAAAAATGAGTTATTCTATTATATCAATCCGCACGTACTGCAACGAGGCCTCGAACACCTCCAATGACTCCTCGATCGAACTGCACAAAGACCACATCACTATTGACACCAACATCGTTAGGCTGAGAATTTCAATGATCGTTCGTTTGCCGAGAAATTCACTGCCGCATACCGCAAACCGTTAACACCAGCACGGAAGCTCTCGAATCAATATACATCTACGACTACAATGACAAGCCCCACCCCTACTACCAAATCAGCTGTAGTCCCATAAAACGTCCCATAAGCACACACAGCGTCCTCCCCATGGACCGATACATGCCTGGGAATTTTCTCCTTGAAAGTGGCATACCGTAACTTCGTGAACTCCTTCCACTCTAAGGTAAGATACTCATTACTCGATTCAGATCAGTACAACTTCTATAGTAAGCTAGGTTATAGAATACCATAGTCATACAAAACTATGCCGTCCTGGAGGGGGGTCTTATAAAATCGAAGCACCAGCGAGCACTAACATTTCTTTTCAGCACTGTCCGATCACACCAACAGAAGTCGAAAAACTCTCTGAAGATTCCTTTTCTCTGTAGATCTCATTTGAAATCTATGATGGAAAAGCCCGTCAAGTGAAGTGCCATGATCATCACCAGCAGTTGTCCGTTCAGAATCCAGAAATTTGATATTGTTTTTTCCAAAAACTGTCTCTAATTCAGCACGGTACTCCTCGACCGTACACAGAGCCGGACATGCCACTATATCTCGCAGAGCTTCCCGATCTGACAAAATAGAAGAAGTCATGAGTCAACACAACAACAAGGGTTATTGCGGAGCGAACGAAGTAATATCGGAGCTATATACTACAACTCGAGTAAGTGTGCGTGCGTGCGTACGAAATATTTCTCCACGACTAGAGTTTGAACATGACGCAAGCACCAATCGAGAGCTAAACGAATGGCTACACCCAGCAAAGTATAAAGATCTCCATTTGGTACCTCCCGGAAACAATTTTTTGCGTGAAAATTACCCGAGCCTGGGATTCGAACCGGAGACCTATGTCGCGCTACAGGGTTGAACACAACAGGCGGTCTAATCCCGTCAAGAATCAGCTAAACACGTAGCGAGCGCCGCCACTTCATCGAGAAGGTCTAGTGGGACTTACCTTCCTTCTGTACCGTATTGGAGTGAATTAAGACCAGATCTTCAAAATACAAGTCACAGCTTGCTTGTGGAGATGCCTATGTGAACATAACGTCACCACCACATTGCAACACCCAAAAGCCTACGGGCCGGAGGATTTCCTTCACCCTTTCAAAAAGCTTTCTTTTATCGTCCATATGACACTGAGAAAAACCAGCTGTTCTCAACCATGCTGAGTCTATTACAAAACATAGAAGGCTGATAGCAAAGTCGAATGGCCCTCCTAAAGAGGCCTGAGTCGCGTTAAAAATATCAGCGGTGATGTATTTCGCTTTGCTCCCTTCGCAGTAACCTGAAGACAGCGTCACAGAGCACACCTCGAGCTCATATACATGAATTAACCATGCTTTAAATCTTTCAGTGATTATTTATAGAAACGGGTCGTCGTCAAGCAAGGATCACAGTGAATAACACTAGCACTTTTTCCCCTACTACTGGAGCATTCCTTGCTATCTATCTCTTCAGCGAGACGAGCAAAGCTGTCGAATATGTCCATACTGATACCTTCCACATAGGGTAAGTTACTTGTCATGTACCTTACCGTACTGCCAAGCCCACCACCTATGTCCAACACCTACAATACCAAATGAGGATGCTCATACAATCATCGTTTATGCGACGATCGGTCTGAGTCTAGTTACGCTGACATTGTTCACGTCGTGAACTTCACGACCAGCCTTCCAAAGGCTGGGGTACTCTCCCATCCTCATTACCTTAACAGGTCTATCCCTAGAAGGGTTCATATGCAAAGCCACTATAGCATTTGCTACAGCGGTGTGCCCCAGGTAGTGCTGACTCGTGAGCCCTTCTTCATCAGCACATAGAATCTGAAAAAGCAACTTATCGCATCGACAGACTATCAAACATAGGTTCTAAAAATAACCAAGGTAAGCCAGTGAGATCAAATCAGCAGCTTAGATCGACTGTAAAAGGCTCACTACATTGTCAGAATTTTCTTTCTCTAGTATCATAATTTCTTCCTCAGCCCATCGAGTTCGATACCAATACCTACACAATTCTTATCACGCGAGAGGCTCTCAAGAATAGTTACATATTCTGGAGCAAAGCCTTCTGCCCTTCCTTATCGGACTGCACGACATGATCCCGAATTGCCGTTGCTGAATCCACGGCAGTCATGAAGGATGCTATATACAAATTACACTGACCGCTTGCTCCTGTGAAAACTAAAACACGACATTTTTCCCATCATTGCGTCAACAGCCCAAGTCTATAACAGCTTATAAAACCACGTGTTGTTCAATAGTGCCGAGCAAAAACACATATAGTAGCCAACCCATTATAGACGAGATGCCGCAGCCGCCACTAACAACTCCGCTAAAAAAGTAAAACTCCATCTTCCCTAGCTACTGGGAATAAGAGATAGCTTAGAAAAAGCCGCCACGCTGAGCTGCTGCTATAATTTGGAACACCGCAGATCCCACGACCACGAATAGGAACAGTCCCAGAACCCATGGACCAACTGGATACTTGTCCTTCCTGAATAAACTTTGTGCATGCGTGCATTCAAAGGGGAGACGTGTTTCTACTTCTTTCCCTGAGAGGCTTTGCCTCGCCTGTTGATGTTCTGCTCGAACTGTTCAGATCTAAGAGCTGTTTTACGAGGCGCGGGCTGAAGATCGTCACACGAAAATAGTCACTATCACACCAGTCGACTATATTACCATATTTGGTCTCAAGATGGCCAACAGTAAAAACGTGGACTAACGAACTGAATAGTAGACAATGTGTCCCAACAATCAATAATATACTATTTATAATTGTCAGATGCACGGCAAAAGCCGGTATGAAAATTATCAAGGATAGATCTTGACAATCGCCTATCATCACCACCGCGGCACCAGGCAAACAGTGAGATCAAAACATTCGTTATCCATATACGTTTTTATATAGTGTGGTTATTATAAAATACAATATAATCGATATTAGGAACAACATCACACAATAACTTCACCATAGTAGACAGCTACTCAACGCAACAGATGGAATTACTCCTTGTGAAACCCTCACGAACGAGCTAGAGTACAGGAATCGTAAATCGCGACCATTTGCAGTGTAGAAACAATTTTACGCGACTGGTTGTACACCAACGGTAACAGCAGAATGCTACTGTAGCCAAATCTCTCACTTAGAACTCACACCGGCCCGGGTATCTGCCATACAGAGGCTCCACTCGAGCCAAGAGCACCGACGGCAGGCCTACCTTGGATAGGGGATGACATCCCTTATGTTCTCAACTCCGGTCATCATCATGATCAGGCGCTCAAACCCTATGCCGAAGCCGGCATGAGGAACACTCCCAAAACGTCTGAGGTGAAGAGACACTAGCCTCCAGGCAACTCGAAAAGTTAACCGGTACGCACCTGAGATCGCGGTACCACCAGTAGTCCTCAACGTCCATGTTGAGATCAGATAGCTTCTTATCCAAAACGTCAAGGCGCTCCTCACGAACAGAGCCGCCGCATACCTGTCACATTGGAATAATAAGATAATAGTAAATCACCGTCAACCTTACCTCGCCCACTAGAGGAGCAAGGATGTCCATAGCAGCCACAGTCTGCTTGGATTCATCCTCATCAGCTTCATTAGCTCGCATATAGAATGCTTTAATAGCAGCAGGATAGTTATATACAATAACTGGCTTCTTATAGATCTTCTCTGTGAGGTACCTAATCTAGCCATACCCAACCCAACTCTGTCAACCTCACACACCTCTCGTGCTCAGAGTCCAGATCGAAACCCCAGTAGATGTTGGTGTTCTCGAACTTAGCCTGAAACGACCGACTCGCCGACGAGTGCAACTTGCGAATGTCCCACCTTGCCGTTCTTCTGAGCCTTCAAAAGCTTATCGATGGCTTCAGTGTAGCTGACTCTGGCGAAGGGCTCAGCGATCAGGTTCTCAAGACGCTTGATAAGGCCTTTCTCGATGAACTTGTCAAAGAACGCTATGTCCTCTCGGCAATGAGCTGACAATAAAAATATCCACAAATGATGAACATCGTGAAACACTTCGCTCCGCTGTGTTCGGGACGAGATGATATCAGCTTTAAATCTATGGATTTCGAGACACCTTCCTCACGTGTTAAGTCCACTAACCCCACCAACTAGGTCGACGACTCAATCACCAGCTTCGTAATTTCGCATCAGCTCCCAATTTATATCGTTATCATTAAAGTTAAGATATTCTATAAATATTACCCAAAACATGGCGAGCGCAGTGCTGGATGAACTCCTCAGCACACTTCATGTTATCGTGGATATCAGCAAAGCACAGCTCGGGCTCGATCATCCAGAACTCAGCCAAATGCCGGGAAGTATGTGAGTTCTCAGCACGGAAGCAAGGACCAAAGGTATACACATCCGACAACGCACAAGCGTAGTTCTCAACATTCAGCTGACCAGACACTGTAAGATACGTAGGACGACCAAAGAAGTCTTGCTTGTAGCTGAACATCGCGGGGAAGCGATCTCCACTGTAGAAAAGACAAATAGAACTCACTCAAAACGGCCGGTGTTGGAGTCAATCTTGACGTCCTGATGAGCACCTTCAGCCTTCTGCAACAACGATGTCACCTGAACGAACCATCCCCAGAGCACAAGACCAGTATGTCCCTACCTGGAACATTTCACCAGCACCTTCGCAATCAGCACTTGTAATAAGGGGAGTATGGACATACTTGAAGTCGCGGCTCATAAAGAAGGCATGAACAGCACCACTCAAGGACGATCTACGGGGAGGACATAACCCAAGCATGCCGCAGACGTCAGAGGTCACTCACCTCACACGAGCGACAGCACCAATAAGGTTGGTCCTGGGTCTGAGATGGGCGATCTCACGGAGGAACTCTCTACTGTGCTGCTTCTTAGCAAGAGGATACGCGGCCGACTCAACTCCTCCAATGACCTGAACAAGGAAGGTCCAGGCAACAACACTATGAACTACACAAGTTTAACAGCAAAGCCAAACTAGCGCGGTTACGACTCACCTTAATTTTGCCCTTCTCACGAACGCTAACCTCAACAGCTTGGCCTTTAGCAGGGCTTGCAACCAAAGCGCCAATTGCCTGTATGGAGGCACCGGTGGCGATCTGTGCAATAGTACCTTGCCAGAGCAACGATCTAGCCACGGTAACGGACAAAGAGACGGCCTACCTTCGAAATCAGGGCAGCTACTGTCCAGGACCAACTGCAACCCCTGTAAGCATGAGCCATCAGAGATCTCTACAAAGGCAAAACCGCTGCCCTGGCTTCGCTTGGTTCTTACCCAGCCGCACACGCTGACCTAAAACGCAGTGAATATGCAGACAAGGTAATCCTCATGCTGCTGCTGGTACAGTCTTCCCGATGAGACCGGCACCGCCATCAGTCCTCAGAAGGATGTCCTTCACACGAGTTCGACCTGACAGAGTACAACTGCTAAGATGAAATAACCAACATATGCGCGTACCTCCAACGCAGGTCGAATAGGGATGGATCGGGGGCTCGCTGCCCTCAGGAATAGGGCTCACAGTATTGGTAGACACAGACTCGGGAGAAGGCATGGAGAGCTGAATGGCAATAATAACCCATACGAAGTGCCAAGGTCCTACCTCCGTATGGCTGACCTTGGCGTTCTGTCGGTCACCTGCGCGCTTCTTGATCGGCTGGTCCTTTTCGGGTTTCTCCGACTCTACCTTGGTCGCCTGAACATGTTGACCTCAAGCCGATGGTTGATGAAATGAGCGCCCAAGCAACCCTGAGAATCCGTCATTTCTAGTGCAGCTAGGAATATGGAGTGTTCGACTTGATTAGAAAATTTGAGCCAGCGTGGGAAAATATGCACATAGTCAACTGCATGTGTAGATGACAATATGAAACTACTGAGGAAATTTTGCGAATTTCTTGTTGGTTTCCGAACACTTCTACTCGAATTCATGGTGAACATCTACAAAAGTAAGGAAACTGCTGAGCTCAGCTGAGGGAAGCGATCACATATACTTCAACACTGATTTAAACCACCTGATCGGCGACCTTACTCACCTCGGAGTCCGTGGACTCAACTTCCTCCTTACCGGGCACGAACGGGGTGACCTCAGGGACGGGGAACTTCGCAGAGTAGCGAGAGAGGACATCAGCTACGGCAGGGTTGCCCAAACACGTTCGGATGTACCGCAAGACGTTGGGATAGTCCTTCCTGAAGGGACACCATAAGCCATCACAGAGAGAAGTCTTGTTCCACACTTACAGGTCAGCTTCAGAAGCAAGGCCAGCCACCAATGTGGTCACGACCGACGCGTCAGCAATACTGAGTAGATCGCCAGAAAGGTATGTATGAGTCCTGAGGTGGTCCTCAAGCATACTAAGGCCACCCTCAACAGGGCTCAGCTCGAGCTCAGCGAAGTCCAGCCAAGAATCAATCAACGCGGACTTGCCGATGATAGACTTTTGATCGCAAGTGCCGCTTTGGTCGGTATGGAGACGGCTGATGTAGCGCAGGACCGGGCCAGTGTACCGGGCAGTGGGGACGCTAGCAGTGCTGGGGTTGAAAAGCTCCAAAACCTGCAGGGAGAGCTATGGGTGAAAAGAATATAATACCACATTTCCGCCACATCGCAGGAGCCATACCCACCTTGGCGCTTCCAGAGTTCTCACAGGTAAGAGGCATGTTAGCCAGCTTAGCTGCGATCTGAACCTTGAGAGTGGGCACCTCGAGCGCCTTGGACGTGACAAGGCGAAGACTAGTCATGTGCGCAGATGGAGACAGGATGAATGAAAACTAGACTGGAAATCAGCGCATCAAAGCAAACCACAAGTCATAACACTACTTACAAGGAAAACAACTTTCCACAACATTTCAAGTACGCCGAATTATCCCACTAAAAGGAACCAGGAGGAACCTCTTCTACTCCACACGAGGTGAACTTCCAATCATCTGTAGTTATATCATTACTATCCATGATATCATTATAATACAATATGATATAATCTATTGCAATATCTAATGTGATGGGAGTCTATATTATTATATACCAGGGATTACTCATCCCTCAAGGAACGTCTAATCCGCGTACAACCATACGACGAGCCTGGCCTTGCTATTACCCGAACTGGCATCCAGTGGCCATCACTTGGCACGGTAGTAATCAGCAATGTGACGACATCTGGTCGCAATCGTAAGAGTACGTAATCAGACCGATCTTCAACCATGTACTCAACACAGCGTTGCCGCCTATGAAAGCCCTTCAGGTCATCATCATCTCAATGGCCGTCCCTTGAACTGTGACGAGCCGCTCAGCCGACGTTTCCATATAGACTTGAGTCATGTGCAGGCTCCCTAGGGTATCTCCTGTCGAGAGGCTTCTGGCAGAGACGGTGAATGATATTGAATGGAACCCGATCGCCAGTGTATCTGACGATTTAACAAAGGGGTGGTATAGGATTGGATACAACTTCTTAGCTACACCTTTTAAAGGCCTAGAAAGGAGCTTTCTATCGAGTGCACTGGCCAAATTGATCTTACTAAGGAATATCTTTGTAGAGTATGCTCGCTTGCTTTGCGAAGTTGATCTCACTAAACGCGAAATAGGCCTTTAAAAGGTGTAGCCATTAAGGACTCTGAGACCCGGTCCATAGGAATGGCTTGGACGATAGATTTCAAGAGTGATTTCAAATCCTCTTCCTCGGGAGCATGTGGAAAAATCTTGACAACCTATAAGTTGACGAGTTTCACACTACCACGCACATCTTAGAGAGTGCATTCCTATCAAGATCGATAAGCAGCGCTTGTGACGCTTCCTTGGAATGACGTCTGAAAACCATCATCCTTCCTAACCTGCCGACCAGAGATCCAAGTCGAACCTGTTCACAATCTATACGTGTCAGCTTAGCGTTATTAGCCAACACAGTGTACTTATTCTCAATGGTATTGCGTAGTACCTGCAAGTGGCACCAGTGCCATCCCCGCGTACTACACTGCATAGCCTGAATGAACGTGGCAAAGGGCTTTCAACCGTGGAGTCCTGTCTTATCCTCCCGTGGCTTGGGTTGAAATAAGTTGCCAAAAACCGATCTCCTGTTAGGGCTGAGGTGAACCCCTGCACTACTCGTGGAACCCCACGATCCACTAGGCTCTGGTGAGTAGTACTAAGCAGCAACAGTAGCGGCAGCATTTGGGCTTTCACTGGTCACCACTCCAGAAAGAGCGCCTGTCGCTGGTCGCCTGGTGACACAGCTTACTGCAAGGCTTACGAAGCAGAAACATCCTACCGCAAGGTATATATACCATCTTTCACAGGGGCAATATCGATTACGAGGGCGCGCGCGCAATGAGTCATTCGACATCCTGTGACATCAGTGATGACTCTTCGCTCCATGGCTCCGACAAGATGTAGACTTTTATATGTCGAACGGAAGCTACACCCTCGAATGGGCAGGAAGATGTCAGGAAAGTCAACCTGACAATCGGCCATCAGCTTGTTGTCGCAAACCATCTAGGGCTTACTATGGACAGCTCGACACGCAAATGATGTCCAAAAACACGCAGAAAGGAAGCCCCATGACCGTCTTTCTGACACGAAGTATCAAGCGGTCAACCATGGCGGCTTTCGCCTCTCACACGTTGCATCACCAGAGAGAACCCTTACGGGGTGTTATGTACACATGTCGCGAAAACTCGTTTGGACAAATAAGTGCTGTTGTCCAAAGGATCATTGATTATCCACAAGTCCCGTTGTTTTCAATTTGATCATGTTACCGTCATTGATGCGTTTAAGCGCGTTGGTGGCAGCTTCAGTGCTACTTGCAGTCGATGCCAAGGTGGAGGTCGACCCCAGTAAACATGATGTTGTCAAGGTGAGTGCATATGCATATCTTACGTTCAGCGGGGTCTTAGTTCGTTCGACATTGCTCAACACGACTTCCTATGGTTTCAGCTGACCCCCCAATCGTTCGGCTCCGTTATCGAGCGCCATAGAGACTGGCAGATCAGTGCCGTCTTCTTCTATGACGACAATACCCCTGTCAAAGACTTCAACAAGATTAACGAAGTTGCCCAACAGACCAAGCGTAGCTAACTTTAAGCAGGATAATCTCCTACAGTATCGCGGTGCTCAGGTATGGTAAAAATCGGAGCCGTAGATTGCGACGAAAACCATGCCTTGTGCGAGCAAAATAACATCAAGGATTGTCCCAAGGTGACTACTTACAACTCCAGTTGAGTTGGCTATTTTCAACTGCTTTCAGTTGGTCATTTATCCCCGGAATCCTATCCCACAGTTCATATATGAAGGCAAAATGGAAGTCCACGATGTGAAGAAGGCCGTGTTGAGGTACTTGCCAACAGAACTCATCAAAAAGCTGGACCCTGCTAGTACGTATTAATACCTTATGAATGGGTTCGTGAATCTTTCCCTACCTTAGATGTTGACGTTTTCCTTACCACTGATGCGGCCATGCCCAAGGTCTTGCTTTTCACCGAGAAAGACTCTCCGCCACCGATGTTCAAGGCGCTCAGTAAGTCTTGTATTTCATGAGGGTTGGTAAAGTGCTGTGGTTAGGCAATGAATTCCGCAAGGAGATGCAGTTTGGTTTGGTGAACGTGAAAAAACAGGCAGATCTTGCTAAGCGGTTTGGTGTGAAAAAAGCACCCAAGATTTTACTACAACAGGCTGCTGGCAAGAAACCCGAAGCGTAAGACCGCCAACTATGGTCATTTCGTTCTATTCGATCGCGACTATCTTGTGGCACGCATATAATTTTTCAGTGAATTCTATATTAAAATTGCAGTGAAACTGCGTGAATTGTTCTTGTAGGTATAAGGGGGAAGTGTCGTATGTTCCTATTGCTGATTGGGTCAACCTACACAGAGAGACATTCTCCAGGGGAGGTAACTATGTGCTGTGATAGTGTGTGGTTAGTTGAGCTGGATGGTCACAGGTGGATTTGAGGAGACTGCGAGGACTGGCTCGGGCAGTGAGACTGAGGCGCCTTCTAGACCGTGGCTTGCCCAGGAGATACCGGAAATCACTAAGAGGAGCGCCAAACATGTTTGTTTTGACGGTGGAGAGGTATTGTTATTATGAGTGTTTGATTTGACTTGGCTCACTACAGGGTCACTGTGTTATCTATTTGAAGGACGGTGGGCCTTTGTCCAAGGAGGAAGAGGGTGGACTTGTTGAGCTCAGGGAACGATTCACTTCACAACTACATAACCGGTAGAAAAAATTTCCTGGTTTGGTCGTATGAGCCCATCGATCATCTCAGAGGCGCTAAGCTGCGTTGGGTGTGGCTGGACGTGTCCAAGGAGGCAGCTTGGGCTGAGATGTTTGGCATTAGCCAGTTCCCCAATGTTGTCGTTTTCAACCCTCATAAGCGTCTCCGCTTCTGCAAGTTTGACGAGGATGACGAGGAGTAAGTGTTGGTCGGCGGTTCGTGGGTGGTATATCCGATTGTCTCAGGCATAAGGGAGATAAGGAAGGCATTGAATACCTAGTGGATAAGGTGCTGGGAGGTGACGGCCGATTCAAGATTGTTAAGGGACAGAAACTCCCGGAACTTTCGGAAAGGGAGGAGGATACGAAGAAGCCTCAAAATGGGAAGGATGAGTTGTAAATGCCGTGTACGGCTAATCCAGTTTTACTCGTGGCTGAGATGCTTTTTTGGATGTTTCCCACAGGCACAATTATTTCCAGTGTTGTGTTGTCAGTGGTGGCGATAGACATTGACTTGGTTTGTAGCAACTGTCGCGGAATTTGTCTTGATCTGTGAATGGTCAACGCCCAA